CTGAGGATCCCCGTACACAGACCGACATAGGTGAAAATATCAGTTACAATTTCATATTCCATTTCAAACAGAATTATTACCCTGATGCCACTCTGCAACTGGGTGTTGCAACTCAGGGAGTCCACATGGCTAATGTTTATTTTTTGTGATATTTTATAGAAATACATGTTAATTTTATAATTTCCTGTGTTGAATGGAAAGCCTAGTTTTTACACAGCCAAAAAAGGATGGGGTGTGTTTTTGGTTGGATTGACTGGATTAATGAAGAAAGATGACTTATAGGTTATACAAGGTCGCATTCCTAAATAAGAAACCACGACCACCATAAGCCTCAATATATTGACACAGTGTCAGCAGATAGACTTTTCTTGCTAGTGTGTTACACCCATCATGTGATCATCTCTTGTTATCAAAATATGTTTCTCTGTCAAATTTGAACATAGGACATTATGCATGATTTGCTATATTAACAGTCGTTAACAGAATTTCAAAAATATGATCACTTGAAACTTACGTGAGGAGCTTCCATGCCACACCATAAGCACTTCATTCATATATATTGAAGCTCTATCTGTATACACCTAAAATTAGAAATAGAAATATTAAAATCTAACATTCAATATTTCATACGTTATTTATTTCATCACCAATTATACACTGCATACACTGCGTGTTGACATACAGTTTTTGACCATAAAAAGGTTGGTGCGTTATGCCCATTGACAAATTGTGTACAGGTACATCAGGTATTAGTCTGAAACTTGTTGATTTCTACCTAGTTTTGACAGAACCGAATAAGAAAAAAACCTTGATACCCATACTTGGCATTTCATTGTCTATGTGTTAAGTAGCGAAGCAGATAATCCTGACTCCCTCACCGAGGGAAAATTCTACCAATAACAAACCTAATTTTCATGATTATGCTAACCGATTCAGCTCATCTTGATTAAATAAAGGTGAATGAGTTTTTCTTATTTAACCCTTGATCCTTCTAGTCAGTATTCCCCATCAATGATTTTATTAAATTTCCAACCAAATCATTGAAAAATTGTGCTCAAGTGATTCTGTATAGATTTGAATAGCTATACCATATGAGGCACGGTTATGAATAATGATTAGAATATTAGACTACTGAATCAAGGGTTATATAAAAGAAAAACTCGCACACCTTTTCTTAATCAACTAGGTAGAAATCAAGAAGTTTCTGACTATTATTATGAAATGAAAATGATTCATAACTTACCTCCATTTGTTCCAAGAGAAGCTGGGTGGACATGATATGGCAGCGTCGCCAAGTACAACCTAGGTGGCCCTATCAAGGTAGCCCACAGGCTGCCACAACTAAACTACACGAGAACCCAACCCGAAAACGTGAAAATTTTGCTCCGTGTGAACTACCTCCAAAAACCTAGGTTGTACACCATATCTAACCATTTGTCCGTAGCTGAAGACGAGCTAC